TTGAGCGGCGCCCCCCCCCCCCCCCCACCGCCGGCGAATTTTATTTACGCCCCGCACGGGGAGTTTTTCTCTGGTAAGAACGTTGTACGAGCCTTTAGACGTTGTCGTACTTCCTTTAATTCAAAACGATTCTACCGATAAAATTGTGAATTTATCATTGCATTTTTCAGACGATTTTGTTGGCGATTGAATGTAAAATATCTGGAAATTTCAGGGGAAAATATGCATAACTTCCCTCGGATATGCATGTTTCATCGAGGGAAGTTTAGCAACTCTCGGATGTTTATACGGCGTTCTTCCTCAACGGGGCAGGTTTCTTCCAGGTAGTACTACCGGGCGTTACGGTTTGCTTGAAATAATCTTTCGGTCCTGTTTTTTAGGTCAACAGCGACTGTTAACGTGGATCCAAGAAAGCAGCGTGCTGCCAGCGCCAAACGCGCGCTGGCGCCTACAAACCTAACAGGGATACTTTACGCATTGCACAATCGCGCGCTGGCGCCTACAAACCTAACAGGGATACTTTACGCATTGCACAATCGCGCGCTGGCGCCTACAAACCTAACAGGGATACTTCACGCATTGCACGATCGCGCGCTGGCGCCTACAAACCTAACAGGGATACTTCACGCATAGCATGATCGCGCGCAGGACCAATCACGTGGACCAATTAACTGTGGGTCTCAATTGGTACGTGGTCCAAAACCCCCCTGCCGAAAAAACGCGTGGACGTTAACTACTTGGAAAAAAGGTGCGCGGACTAAAAATCGGTGACGAAATGACCGATAATCTTCTAATGTTACTCAGATCGTTCAACCTCTACGTTTCCAATGAGTGAACCGATATTTTAAACAATAAAAATAGTTTATCTGCTGACGACCTGTAGACTTCGTAGGAAGATATACATCGTAGGGCTCATCAGAGAATGGGCTAATTGTTCTTTAACGAAAAAATATTGTTCGAAATTGACTGGAAGGAGACAAATAAAAGAAAATACCACGCGACGCAGAGCTCCCGTCATACGGGAAAAGAGAGCTCGGTTGATTTGATTGAATTTTTGATATGCTATAAATTTGACCTAAGTGATGAAAGATCCCATAGGAATTAAAGACTCTGAAACCCCGAGTAAAGTTTATTTTAACCCTCCAAATACCGTAATTTGTACAAATTTCATGACTCATTGTGATATCAGCTATTAAACGGGTTTAAAGCGGTTAATTTAACTGCATTTTTTACGTTTTTGAAATAGATGTTGATAAAATTACGTTGTTAACTTGTGACTGGTTTCATGAGAGAGCCGGAGAATTCTTAGCAAAAATCATTAATCTCAATCACAACGCGAAAAATCTAAACAGGTAGTGTGCGCCGAACATATGAATTCGTTCTCAATGACCACTTTGAAAAATTCAAAGACAATATGGACGTATTTCTGTCAAACGGAACCATGTGTATTATGACGTGAGCCCTGCTATGCATACATTCTTATGGGTCTCAGGGCTCATGTCTTAATGCACTTAGTTCCGTTTGTTAGAGATACGTCCATATATTACACGGACCCGTGACTCCCAATCTATGAAGTGTAATCGGCCAATCGGGTTAGGCACAGAGGCAGGAATTGGATTCGGAGATTAACACTATTTTTTCTCATGATAGTTCATCGTTTTCTGGACGAAGGATCGTAACTACGTTTCAATGTTGACAAATTTTCCCTCGCAAATCGCATATTAACCGTGAGAATCTTAGGCATTTCTATCTGAAATTTTCACCGATATTTCCTCAGAGTTCATGTAAAAATCCGACTTTGGGGTACTAATTGCACGGGTACATTTTTTCAAAATAAATTAATTATTCAAGTCAATTTGGTAACCTTTGATTGGAGTTATGTCATATCGTCCGAGAGAAGACGAATTGGACTGCATTTTGCAATTCAGAACTATCGTTTCTGCACTAGTTTAATAACAACTTATATACCATTAGTTTTCCTACAGACGTATGTCTTTTCACGAATGAGCCAGAGACTGTAGTTTCCAAAAGCATAATGCAGTCCATACGCCTCTGGAATCATATGTACAGGACAACTTTTCGTCCAGGAAAAGACGAATTGGACTACATTTTGCAATTTGAAGCTAATATTTCTAACCTCGTTCAAAAATCACGTATGTGCCATTAGTCTCCCTACTGACGTATGTGTTTTCACGAATGAGCCAGAAAACTGCATAGTTTCTAATATCAAAATAGTCCATACGTCCCTTGAATCGTGGAACATTTAATAAATGCATTGTACATATGACTTTTGAGCTCTTTCGAGTCGAGTAGTGAGCTACTTGACAGATCGTAACAGTCATAAAACGACGCTCGGGAGAAGACGAATTGAACTGCATTTCGCAATTTGGAACTACTGTTTCTGCCCTAGTTTAAAACCACGTATGTGTAATTATTCTGCCTACAGACGTATGTGATTTCACGAACGCACCAGAAAACTGTAGTTTCTAATATAAAAATGGACGTAATTCTGTCAAAAGGAACTATGTGCATTATGACGTGAGCCCTGATATGCATACATTCTTTTGGGTCTTAGGGTTCATGTCTGAATGCACACAGTTCCCTTTGGCAGAAATACATGCAAATAATGGATACGTCCCTTGAATCATGAGACATTTAATACATGGATGGTACGTATAACTTTTGAGCTCTCCCGGGTCAAGTAGTGAGCTACTTGATAGATCGTAACAGTCATAAAACGACGCTCGGGAGAAGACGAATTGAACTGCATTTTGCAATTTGGAACTACTGTTTCTGCCCTAGTTTAAAACCACGTATGTGCAATTATTCTGCCTACAGACGTATGTGATTTCACCAATGAACCAGAAAACTGTAGTTTCTAATACGAAAATAGACCACACGTCCCTTGAATCATGGGACATTTAATACATGCATAAAATGCAGTCTTTACGTCTCTAGAATCATAGGACAATATTTCGTCCGGGAGAAGACAAATTGGACTAGATTTTGAAATTTGGAGCTACCATTTCTGCTCTTTTTTAAAAACCACATATGTGCCATTAGTCTCCCCACAGACGTATGTGTTTTCACGGATGAGCCAGAAAACTGTAGTTTCTAATATCAAAATAGTGCACACGTCCGTTGAATCATGGGACATTTAATACATGGACTGTACATA